CGACACAGCGCCGTCATCATAGATGACTGGCTCCTAATTGGATACAGAGGGGGCCGCATCCATGTTTCACACGCTGCGGCCGAGTGGTGAGAATCGTATTTTCAATTAAATAAGCCCAAAAAAAATAAATAAATGAAAACATGTCTTGGGGAGGTGGCGAGCTGCTCACTCTGTGAATCATATTGAGGCTTTTGGATAAACAGATGACTACAACGAGTCATCTGGGGTGGAACAAAGTAGGACCCTCTCTTCTCTGTCTCTCTGCACCTCAAACAGTTGGCACCGACTTTTTTGTTTTTCATTTCTGCTCACATTGGGTAAAAAAAGAGGAAAAGATAGCAGGCAAACACACAGCTCTCAGCCTGTCTGCGTGAGTAAAGAGAGCCCTGTCCAGTGGACCTTTTAAAGTCTCCGCACGCATAAACACACAATCATGCACAACACATCACGCTCCAAACTCCAAACGCTGGTGTCAGCAAGTGTGTTGGGAACATTTGCCTGATTCAAAGCAACTCGTTGCAGATTATTCCTGCTGCAGGGGAACACGTTCGTCTGTGGCCTCATTTTCACAACAACACGAACGAGTCACATCCTGCTAGCAATGGTGGGAGCGTTTGTACTTGTTGGCCTATATTTTGGGCACCAGACGTATCGCTGCTAACTTGCTGTTTTCAATAAACGGCACTTACAGATTGGTCTGTTGAATCGGATGTTAATGGGTATTTCCTGGTCCTGCTCTCCGAGTTAGTTTCACAAACACGACGTATAAGACATTTTAGAAATTGATTTCTTTAGTATTTTATCTCCAGCGGCTCAAGAGAATAAGGCTTCGTTTAGTGTGTGTGTGTATGAAAATGTGTCAGACGATGCATTTCATCAGGGGAAGTGCTCTCTGGATCTTAACTGTGTATTCTTTGTTTCTCATTATGTTTTGCCCTATTCACATCATCAGCACTTCAGATTAAACTGAATCAATCTCCTGCCTGTGTGTGAAGATTTGCACACACACACGCACACACAAACACACAATTAATCACAAGAAAAGGGACGAGTCTGCTCGGGTTGCGTAACACCTTGCACAGAATACAATCGCGTCTATGCACTCCCGCATTCGCTCTCACCGTCTCCCGCTCCTTCCTCTCTCTCTCTCTCTCTCTCCCATCATCACCTTTGCCAGAGGATAAACTCTTTGGCTTGCAGGCTTTCCGTCAAAGCCCCAAACCACAAAAAGGAGCTCGCTCTCTTTATTCTCGCAGTCTCTCTCGACAAAAAATCTGTTTATACACTGTATACACTCTCACCCCCCCCTGCAGCCGTCTCTCACATTTGCCTCCTCAAAACCCCCCTCCCTTGCTCCTCCTCTGATGTTTTAGAAAGAAATTGCTTTGTCCCCGCAACAGAGTTCAGCCAAAGAACATGGGTGTTGACAGCTATGGTCTTTTTAAGAGGAGAGGGGGATTACTGCATGTATATATTGAGGTGGATTAAGACTTTGGCACTAATGAAAGGTCCTAACTGGAGCCTTTTTTTGGAATTGGTCAGCGAGGTCTTAAGCTCAGATAATGCCTTTAAGACCAAAATGAAATCACCAAAAGCACGGGTAGTAATAATAATAATAACACCAAGGAGGGAGGGAGAAAAGAGCAAACAATCAAAAAAAATGTCTGGCAAGAGCAATTTTCACGCCGAAACCATCTGTTCCTGCTGCTTGTAATCTGCGGTTGCTTTTGATTAAGATTAAACCTCGCTCAAGCCCCGTGAGCTGTTCAGCAAGTGCAGCCTCTTTATTATTTTTAATAAATATGAGTGATTTGAATGGTGATTTGAGGAGTTCTGGAACAAGGTGAAGAGTGTGTGTTTGTGCGTTTTATACGTGTGTATAAATGCTTACGCGTGTGAGTGGATGTGTGTGTCCTTGCTCCGTCTGCAATCGCTCAGGGATTAAAATGATTTATGCTGGCCTGACTTCAGAGTCACAAAGTGTGGGGTGATGGGACCATCATTCATCTCGTTCTCTTTTTTTTTTGTCTTTTTCACTGTCAGTAAAACTCTGACTCAGAGTCCATTCCCTAAAATTCTTATCAAAAATTCTTTCGTCGGGTTGTTTTTCGTGTTTTAAAATGTATTACAATGATTTAGTAACGCACTCGTAAACTACCTCACCGACCCACAATGGATGGTTTAAAATAAACAAATATGTCTTCAGTCAAAACTGATGCAGCAGATTTCATCTGCTTTTAATCCACATTTGCTTTTTTCATGTCAAAACCTGGCTCCTCCATTTCCCACAATGCAACTGGACCACCGACCGTTCGGTTGTGTTGTGCTTCTAGCCTCAAGCAGAAATGAGAAGCCACGGTTACAGAAGTCTAGTGAGATGCTGTTCTTGAAGTGCCTTAAACGACTCCTCTAAATGCACAAAAAAGTCTATGAGAAAATGACCCGACTTCTCACTCGATTTATTACTTTGGTTGACATTGTCGCTTGTATCAATTATTCTTCAATACAGAATTATGTTTATTTGATAAAGTATGGTCCCATTAAGAGTTAAATAGACAATACAGCAGGGTATGCTTTAGGGTGTGTCACATTGTGATTGACAGGTTGCTACCACGACGTTGTCTGGTCTGAGTGTCGTCCGTGTTTTCGTCCAAAACCGTGGTCTACAAACTAATCAGTGACCACGTCCAAGGTGTCCACGTCCAATACCCCTTTAATTGGTTAAAAGCAGTTCTGTATTAGGTAAGAGTAAAGCCATGAAATGGCAAACACTTGCGTGTGTGTGTGTGTGTGTGTATTTGTGTGTATTACAGTCCTGATACGAGACAACTACCCAAAGAGTAGTTTGAGAAGGAGTTCATCATCACCGCTATAACTGGATAATGACTGTAACTTGTTTCCCAGCGCAAGTGTGTGAACCCAATCTGTCACTTCCAGAAGATTTTCAAATCCAAAGCCGTACATTGTGTGTGGGAGGCAGGCTAAACAGCGCTTCTCTTCATCCCAACAGCCCCAGTGTGCAAGCAGCGAAGAATACAGTAGCCTGGTGCAACCAAAAAACACTTTAGTGTAATTTGAAAACAGTCCAAACAGAATGGCCCCCCCCCCCCCCCCTGTATTTCATATAATGCTTTCACTTACACCTACAGCACAAAGGATTCCTTCTTTTCTATGTATACAAGCTCTTGATGTGTTAGAGGTAAGCCTCTTCTCAGCTGCATCCCTCCAACAATTAAACAAATCCATTGACTCGCAGCGAGTTGCAGGCGATACAATGTTTGCGGAGGCTGCCAAAAGCTGATTTCAGGGCATTCTCTCAAAGAGTGATTCTTGCACGTTTAGAAACCGGGTCCCTTCGCATATGTATTTAAGTGTGCGCTCTCATGAATGCGCGCGTTATGTTCGTGGGCATTGTCTGCGGATTTTACAGGCACATCATCTGGATTAGGGACGCTCTGTTTTGTCAGGCCATCGGTGGCGGGGGCCGCATGGAGGGGCGTCTTTTGTCATCATGTCAGTCTCTTCCTGCCTCCTTTTATTTCCCTCTCTCCCTCGCTGAAAGTTGAAAGGTTGCTTGATGCCAAGACAATGTGTGGGAAAAAAGAAGACACAAAAAGATATCAAAGAACAGAAAACTGGAATAACTTGAGGAAGTCGGATGAATTGGGAAGCGGAGGGCTCAACGTTTCTTTCAGCAACGCTTCACTCTCTGTTGGTCACTGCTCATTAGTTAGTGTTTCCTCCACTTAAATCTAATCATGTGTGCCCTGTGGAGACACTCATGTGACTACTCCCTCAGCCTCTGCTAAAGTGGTTGCCTGAGGGTTACTTTGTGCGAGAGACAAGATAAATGCTATTGTTTTAGCCTTCAAGGTAGCCATTAGTCTGCGGGCGGGACTGCAAACAAAAGGGCAGGAAACCGACAAAGAGTCGCATGCTTTGCCACAATAGCACAGAAACAGGTGTACCCCTATTGCATTTGTTCAAAGGGTTAATCTTTTTTCGTAAATCCCCACGGGGAAAGAAAAACAACTCACCTGGCTATCCCACAGTTACAGCCATTGTTTGGTTTCGGTGTCGCGTTACTTCCCACCGATTGTGTCCGCTGATATGTTTTTGGCTCTCGGGTGCTTTTTGTGTTGTCCAATAAAAAAAACAAACATAGGCTTTTGACTGCCACTTTGGCGTTAGTCATCCCTCACAGGAAGTTGTGCTCCGGGCCGCAGTCATCAGAGATGAGCATAGCTGAGCCGGAGCTTTGTTGTGAGGTGATTGCAGCCTTTCACCGGCTTTAGAAAGACGGCCGCCACGGTGAGTGGCGCACAAAGGACAGGAGGATTACTTTGTGCTCCTTGTTTTGTAACCTTGAGGAGGAAAAAATGTTTAAAAATCCACACCTGGGGGAATTTGTATGTACGGTTCTTAGCCTTCGCGACCAGGTGCTTCCGAAATGAAAAACAACACAGGGAGGGGAGCGCCAAGGGCCGATGAGGGAAAGAGACCCGGGTGAAATTTCTCAAGTCGTGGGCTCTAGATGACGTGGCACTTCAATTACTGGGTGCCAATGTATACATCCCGGCGTGAGGGGGGTGGGAGAAATGGCGCGTGGTGCCCCTGAATAATTCCCAAGCTGTCAGCGGGTTGTTTTATTCCCTGCTCTGGCGTACCGCTGACGACATCTCATTCCAACCTCAAATCCTTGCATTCCAAGATAGGAGAAAGGGCAATAGAGAGGGAAAAAGAGGAGCACGTGGGAGCGATTAAGTATGTATGGATAAGGAACAGAGAGAAATGGACAAAATGGTATTTTTTTGTTTGAAAAAAAGCATCAAAATACATTGAGTTTTTCCTTTGTGTGGCTTTATGTACATAGGAATAATCTGTTCACATTGTGAGCTACGAGAGACGGCATGATAGCGAAGACGCCAAAGCCGTTGAAAGGTTCAACAATGCATAAGAATACAGCTTCACACTGACAAGAGAGAAGCAAATATTAGCAGCACACACACACACACACACACCTCCACATCACAATCTCACGGGAGTGGTTTGGCGAACGTTTGTCTTGAATCTATACGCTTTCGCAGAACATGCATGGTGCTAATGCTGACCGTTATGTGCGATTTCTTGCCTCGCAGTTTCCAGGGAAACCAAATTCGATGGACTAAACTGACGAGCCTTTTGTGAAAAGTCTCTCTCGAAAGGCACTAAGTCACTCACTCAGACAAAACCTCACCCTCGGTTCTCTTTAGACTTCAGAGAGAACCAGAGAAGGATTGTTCAGGGTAAGAAATATGAGGATTCCTTCTTTTTTTCTTACCCTGAAAAAGTAAAATAAATACCCACACATCCACTTTGCGAAGGATTTTTTTTCACTAATGCATATATGACCCTGAGTAATTGTCTCCATGAGCGCCTGCCAAAAGGAAATAAGGAGAGACGAAATAATGATATTCCTCAGCTAGAGGAACTCAGGAGGATATTGTCCCTCCAGGTGGATTGTGTGCAAGCATGCATACAGCTGTATGAGGAGGTTTTTGTGTGTGTGTGTATCAAAGGCTTCTTTCTTTATGTGTCTTTCGGTTTGGAGAGGTATGTGCGCGGGGGGGGGGGGGGGGGATGTTATGAAACCCATCCCAGGTGTCACAGGTCGCAGTGTGTGCCACCTCGAACACGGCTCTGCCAGAGGACGGCCGGTGAGCCACCCTTCTATAGACTGTGTTAGCTTTTCATTTTAATCCTTCCCCCCCCCCCCCAACCCTTCCTCCATATGAGACACATTAGTCCTCGAAGAGAGGAGAGCGGGAGGATAACCCCCTTCTTCCATTGTTGCACGCTTTCATCTATTTCTATAAGGCGAGGGAGAGCGGAGGGGGCAGAGAGAGAGAGAGAGAGTAAGAGGATGGAGGGGAGTAAAAATAAGTTCTGGTGGGCTGCGGACCCGGTAGTTGTTGCACCGCTGAGAGTATGATGCATCTCTGCCTGGATCCAAACTCACATGCGAAAGGCATGTGCGCACACACACCCGGCTAAGTTTTACATGCACGCTGGAACACAATCAGCACACAGTATTGATCCACACCACACACACACTTTCTGTAAAGCGCTTTAACCCACCATAGTGTTTATAAGCAGCTTATAAACACTCGATTCGTGATTTACATCAAAAGAAAGGACCTTTTGGAAGAATTTTTAAATAACGCAATTGTCCTATATGAAGCATCTGTAACTGATGTATTAACAGTTATGAAATGATTGATAATGCAGTATAACTAAGCTGTAACCATGTGCTATAGTGATGATGTATAACTGCACACACTCCAGATTCTTGCCAATGCACAGCCGTAAACATTGTGTCATACTGGGGTTTAAATCATTTATTACATGTTCATCTGAAGGCTAAATGTGAGGTTAAAAGGAAGTGACACTTCCAGTAACTATTGTTATTGCCATTATTTCTACACAGAGCCAATACAGTGGACAGCGACTTTGACCCTGTTGCGTTACACAGCAGCGAGGAGCGTCTCACCGTGTATCTTAAGCTACTGGAAAACCACACATAGCCTCCTGCAACACACCGAGACGGTCCTCTCACACTGAAACATCATTAGCTTTTCCGAATACTGCCTGCGGCAAGCAAGTAAGCATTTGTTTGCCTGCCTTTTGACGGTTTTACAGCATTTAGCTGTGTCTCTGAGTCATCAAACCACCCCGATTAAAAGACAAACACGATGTCAAATTCCTAAATAATACGACTTAATTGGTATCAATTAGCTGTAGCAGCCGACGCTGCTGGCAGAGTCAGGAGTTTCCTGACAAAATCCCTTCCCAGAAGGAATGCCAGTTCAATGTGGCACAGCAAGCTGTTCTGTAAATAGGCACACGTGGGTGAACCCAGACGGGGTGGCTACAACAACAACAAAAAAGAAGAAGGCTACGAAAACAAAAGTTTTTAAGGTATTTTGTATTGTTTTTCACAAGACTAAACATGTGTTGGGGACAAAGTTGTGGGGGCGGCAGAAAAAGCACAATGTGAAATATCGGATCTTTCAGGAGGTTAAGCTGCTGGCGGGCCGTGTGTTAGATAAACAGATAAGTGCTGGAACACGCCTGGGTCAGCTGGTGCACAAACACAGACGGAAAAATGTACACGCTTTGCGATTCCAACCATGAGTGTTACTGCTTGTATTATCCACATACACACTCAGACGTACAAGGATATCTCTTCCCAGAAGTCACATTTATGTATATTGGCTGGAAGCAGGTTGCATCTGGTTCCAGTTGGTTTCAGTTGGGTTTTGGCAAAAACCTGCTCAACTTTTGTTAGCGTTTTCTCGGAAAGTTCTGTAATCACATAAATGTGCTGCGTTTTCGTAATCGGCGCAGCATTCCTTCTGTGCAAAATTAAATTGCCGGCTAGTTATTTTTTGGTTGTTGTGTTGAGCAGGACAAAAGTGTTCCAGCAGAGTTATTATGCATGGGTTTGTGTATGTGCCTTTAACTGTGAGATATGAGTAGGGGGTAGTGAGAGACGGTGTTTGCACATAAAGTATAGTATGTCTGGCAAACGCATGAATGAATGCATGAGCGGCCCCGGCTTGGTGTCGGCCTTCAGAATGTGTGAACACCTGAATATGTTGTTGTTTTTCTGAATTCTGTTTGTTTGTGCTTTTCCCAACAAATTCCCTGAAGTGAGGAAAAAAAAATAAAAAATGAATGCCTTCATTCTTTTCTCAGCGTTTCTCTCAGATAGGCTGCTGGTGTGAAGTTGGTATGCTGTAACATATGTGCATACATATGTGCAGCTGTCCCTTGCAGTGGTCTTCTGTGGATTCTCAGCCCACGTTCAATGATCAATTGTAGATCAATGTACAAATAAAGAAATAAACACTCGCAGGCAGCGTGTAAGATCATCGGCATACATTGCAGCTAGCTCCCTCCCGTGCTACGGACGCCACACTGAGAAAGACATGGCACCCGCCGTGTCCCAGCACCGCACACCTGATGTTCCTTTGGCACCACCTGTTCACCTCGTCCAGAATCATGCTCAGAATCCTAACCGATTATTTGGACCAAGGGGAGGAAAGTTAGAGAGAGAGAAGGAAGACCAGGAGGAGTTGGAGGAGGTGGGAGGTAAGGGGGAGGGACAAGCAGAAGTCAGAGTGCCTGGGAGGAAATGGAAGGGGGAGCAGAGGGAGGGAGGGAACAGAGGACGGGAGGCTTTGGCTGAGTGCCTTGGAGGTGTTTAAGTGTCTTCATTGAAGACCGCCCCACCAACCGCTACACCTGACATACATACCCTCGCCCAAGGAGGGATGAGATCGCGAAAGAGGTGTGTGGGTGGGTGTGGGGGTGTGGGACCAAAAAAAAAAGCAAGGTGCGTTCCAAATTAACAGCTGCCGGAGAAAGTGATTTTATTCCGAACATAACGAATGCCCGTGCCGTTGGGAGACGAGCCAAATTGCTAGTCACCGCCTCGTTGCACCTAAAAAGGCACGAAATGCGCATGGCGGTGCGTATGACTGTAGGCCCTCATTGAAAATGCAGTCATGTCTCTGCAGTCTCATGGAAACCCATCCCGTTCCTCGGCTCTTTCTCCTGCGAGTGTTGACGTATCAACCGTGCGTCCAGCTTGCAGAAGAAGAAAAAAAAAAAGCAAGAATACAACAGACAACCCATCTTTGACGTGGAAATGGACGCGCGCGTATTCCCTCGGAAAACATGTCTGCCTCACTCGTGCGGGGCTTATATTGCGAGTACTTGACAATAACACCTTTAAAACACATTTACAGCCTGTCTGTCTGTGTGAAAGGCTCATATTCTGTACTTGCAGTCAATATGAAGTGGCTGCACTCTATTCTTCTCTCTCGGACCAAATGGCCGCCGTGGCTGCGCGATGCCTCTGTGTCATCGTTTGTAAGCTAGCTGAATGGCTTTTTTTAATCTCTGTCAGGAGTGGGTGTTTGCCCGACTACACAAAACACCACAGCAACAATGCCATTATCCACACCCGGACCTACACAATAAAACTTCTCGTTTATTTTTGGCAGTCTCTCCCGCAGCATCTTACATCGCAGAGAATGTAATATTTGGACGATAAAGGACACCGTTAACATTAATACTGAAGTAGATTTAAAGGCTCAGGTCATCCAAATTACAAAATATTTGTCCCTAAAACCTTCTGCCTCCACCTAAATACAATAAAGATGAATACAATTTGACAAAGTATGGCGAAAAAACAGTTTATTATATTCAAGTTGAGTGGTTCCAAAAACCTTTTTTGGCTTGTTTTTTGGCCAAATTCACAAGAAATAAGATATACAAAGAAACAAGGTGTTGAAGAAATATGAATTCATCATCTTGCGTGTCTTATGGACTATTAGAGGGACTTTGGTCTAAAACTACCAATGAGAACTGTTCACAGTGATGCAGATTTATTTATTTTTTTTCAAATCTGTCTTTTTCTGAACTCTGGCTGTCTCCAAAACTGGGCAAATTATGCATGGCTGGATACCGAAAGCGGCACATTCTGGTGAATTGATCTTTTTAACAGGAAACATTAACGAACAGATTCCTCTGGTCTCTCCGCTCCCTGTGAAGGGCAGGCATTTCTTCCGGCTTAATTCGGTCTGGGGGGTGTTGCAGGAGTTAGACAGCACTGGGTGGGCTTTGCAGTCCATATGTGCTCATGTGGAGAGACAGAGAGGAAGACAGGACTGTGGATGTGACACCGGGGGATGATTTGAATACCTGCCTGCTCTGGCTGAGCAGTGATCAATCATCTCTCTGTCAAGCGCCACTCCCTGCTGGCAACTTCTCCACGCATGTAACCCCATCTCTTAACACCTCCCCCTTCTGTTTCTCATTCTCTATCCCTCTACTGTTGTTTTTAAAAATAATTTCCTCTCTATCTGCTGGTCTCGTTCCAACCTCTCCCCATCCTTCGATCCATCTCTGGGCTCCTGAGCAATGTGTTACTCATTTACTCTGCGTTGCCATGCTTTCCCTCACTGCTTTCTCTCACGGCATCTCGCCAGGTCCTCTTGTTCTTTCTATCTCCCGCGCTGTCGGCTTGCCTGAGGATATCAGGGAAAGAAATGAGGGGCGTGGGGTAAGGGACAGATGGAAATGAGCGAGAGACACATGGTGGAGGACTGCAGGCACGCACTACAAGTACAAACCCTGACGCAAAGTGCACCTGACTGTAACTGTTACTCATTATTATTTTTCTCATTTCCGTCCCGATTTTAATTTCCTAATTAATGTTGGAGTGTTTTTAACTCATGCACACATGGAGCGCAACCTTGGGGAGGGCAATCGTGGGGAAGATTGTGTGTAACATGCTGATTGATAGCGCGAACACCTTCCACTGGGTGATTTTTCACTATACCGCTTTCCACCGGGTGCTGATGGGCACGCAACACATACACAAACACACACACACACACACACACACACACAAGCACACACGCTCCCATCCCTCCACCAAGTTGGGGGAAATCAGACCTAAGACCAGTGCTGCTGCCGCTCGGCTCTTGAAATATGAATGGTTTTAATTAAACAAATTCGCTTTGCCATCTGGTCCTACAATTGGGCTTGCCTAATGAACAGAGTAACACACACACACACACACACACACACACACGCACATTATTAACCAGGCTAAGCAGCGTTCCGGCAGGCAAAGCTTTGGAAATAGACAGAAACAACAACAATGAAGTGATCAAGTGAGGTGCTTCACAGAGCTGGAAAATGATGCAGTGCTGAATGAGGTGTGTGTGTGTAGGGCTAAAGCTTATCTGTATGTGTGTTCATTTCTCTGTGTAAAAGTGTGCATTTCAGTCTGTCTGTCTGTGTCAGCACAGTCTGTACACACCGACTACCTCAGTGACAGCAGCTGTGATGTGCCACTTGTCTGTCCTACTCTATCGGGCCAGCTAGCCAACACTAAATGATGATGTTTGTAATCCAACGGTGGTAGCCCAAGATTTCTCAGCGGGAGAGACAGGAGAGAGAGAGAGCCGTGTGTGTGTGTGTGTGTGTGTGTGTGTGTGTGTGCGCGCTGGGGGGGGGTGGTGGTTGTCTGGCAGCCAAAGCACAGAAACGTGGGAGGCATGCTAACGTTAGCAGCCAGTAGGACGTGCTATTACTCTCTTAGAGGCTACAATAAATTTGCACTATTCATCCGTCTTAGCAGCCGGTGTAAATGAAATCCGGCATCAGCCTCCGTGAGATGCACTCAGCGATGTAGCGATAAGTAAAAAGTTGGGTAAACTAATGTATAACCTCTCGGTGAGCGTCACAAGGCACAAACAACCCCTGCGGTATGAAAAAATAAAAAAAGTTCTGTTGAGGAAAGTTTTCCTACACATACATTCACGCGGGATACATTAGCTTTGCGTACCAGCCGCAGGCCAGGCATTTTTTTTTGCCGTAAAAAAAAAGCCACGTATAATGATTCATGCTGTGGATCAAATAGTATAAATCCTTGGCAGCGTGACCTACTGCAACAAGCATAGCAAACCGTATAGCTGCACTGATGCACTGAACAATTATTACATCTTCAACGCCCGGAGCTGTTCCCATTTCATAAGAAAACACATTGCACACCTCAGACACCTGACTCACGATGAAAGGGCAGTGTAGAAGGATGTTATTTTTAAGGTGCACTTGAACTAACACGGTAAAAAATTGAAAAAATTGAAAAATCCGCCGCCCCGCCCCTGGCAATGTGGAGATCAATAATAGAGCACGAGTCTTTGACCCAGCGATAACGACGTACATCTAGAAGGGCTCTTCCACATCCGTAGCGGCCTAATCGGGTGTTTGACTCCAAACACTCAGCGTTTATGAATATCGGATGAGCGCCAGGGTAAGCTTATGAATAAGTGAGTGGCCCAGCTGTGCGTCAAAAAGATCAAGAGTTTATGAAATGCACCAAATGCCATAGCTGAGCAATACATGGAACTATGTGCTGCTCCAGACTTATGGTTAAAAACTGATTTTTTTTATTTTTTTGCTCTAAAAGCTACAAATTGAATTCTTTGTGCACTGTTCAGCTGAACAAATCCAGAAACATCTGTGAAGATGCAGCAGAATTTTCCTAGGTTCCTGGCATGCAGCTCACTCTGCCGAAACAACGTCTGTGAAGAAGAGAACTGTACAGAGGAGCCCTGTGTGTGATCGTTTGTGCAGTGTGGATTGGGTCGACAATGTGTTCATATTCCCACGATGACCCCAGCACTCCCTGTTTGGAGACAGTTCTGGAAGAATCTGTCTTGGATGGAGAGGGTTTTTTTTGTTTGTTTTGTCCTTATTTGATACTCCCCATGGAAAGAAGTCAACCAATAGAAAATAATAAAGTTCGAAACCTGACCTTGATGAAGGAGATGAGGAAAAAGAAAACACGGTCCCTCGGTACATCTGCGCGGTGGAAAGGAAGTATGGATGAAGAGCGGGAGACCAGAGAATGAAAAACAGACCGTGTGTGTTGTCTTTGTGTGTGTGTTTGTCTGGGTCCGTGTTAGTACGGATGCCTGCGCATGCATGTGTGTGTGGCTGTGTGGCTGTTGGTGTGCGTGCATTCATGTGTGTGAGACAGACGAGCAGCTGCAGTGGAGGACGATTGTTCCTGCACATTGTGCGAACATCGATGGACGACGAAGCGAGTTAGAGCCGTAAGAAGGCACAGAATTAAAATAAAAGGGACAAGAGGCCTTTGTCCACTTTCGACCCTGTTACAAAGCAATGAGCGATCAAACGTGATGAATCAGTAACTCTGTGAACGGAAATCAAAACTGAAATCCTCAGATTTAGTTTGCAAACTGACACTCCAGCCTCGGGGGGAGGGGGGGGGGGTCGAGGTTTTCATAGTGTTGAATTGAGTCCGATCGCTTTCGACGACACACAGAAATTCTCTTCGCATTTCCCTGCTTTACTTCTGGTCTTCTACAGGACAGAAAATAAAAGTGACTCACCACAACTCTCCGCCGCATTACGCACATAAATGCCAGCAATTACCTGTCGCTAATGACGCTTACACCAACACTGGGCGCCATGGCAAAGCCATCTGCTAACTCTTGTTTTCCCTCTTTCCTCATAACTCCCTCGTTTCCTAAAAAGGTTTCACATAAAGCGGTGCTGTTAGTGTCTGTGTGTGTGTTCTGGCTACAACACAAGGGGGAGTGCTAATGACTGTAGTTAGCATCCCTCAAGAGGGTGAAGCACTTTGCCAATATTTGCCCTAACCTTAGATGATTGCATTTACTTTACACTTAGGTATTTAGCCGAAGCCCTTATCCACAGTGACCTAGCGGAAGTGAGCAAGCAGGGGGCTCAACGTCTTCCTCAAGGACACTTGAACAGGAAGCATAAAGCTGCCTTTTTCTCGGGTTGAATGACAGGACCAGGACAAATTAGAGTCTCCCAGACCACAAGGCCACCCCCGCTGACGCCAGGCTACCAATACAAATCGTAGGAGCTCACGCGCTGCAAGAGATGCAGGGTTTGCTTTAAGATTGAAAACATTATGTTGAACAAAACACAAACTCACTTGTACTACTGCCTTTCCATCTTCTCTCTCTCTCTCTCACACACACACACACACACACACACACTTGCAAACACACAGTTCAGCTGATCTCACTAAAGATAGTGAGCAGCAGCAGAGCATGGTGTTTCTCTGGGATGGAGACTGATTCATGAATCGACCTTGACTCTGTTCCTCCAACAAATCTCCTCTAAGGCTCCAGTGTACTTTGCAACCGTACCCTCTGAAACAGCTGAAAAGGGAAGAATCAACAACATATGTGCGTTGAGCTGAAACCAAAATTGATGGGGATGAAATGAACACATAATTTGCGTCAATGTGCTAAGTGTAAAATAGTTCACTCTGGACAATATCTTACGATATATGGGCTTTTATTTTTTTTTCTCAAGGTGGATTTGATTGACGGGCTGACCTCACTTCTCGTCTAACTTGGATTCCTGCTATCGGCTGTCCCTGTCCTATTACTTTTAAATGGAGACCAAATTGAAATGAGTCTTTTGATTGGGTCTAATTTGGCCAGTAAATGGGTGCCTATTGTCTGAAAAGGGAGATTTTAAGTATCCTCCAGGTAGCCCTATCGGCTCACATTAAAGTGGTTTAAATCCTTTTTAATCTGCATTGAGGCCAAAGAATTTGAGGAAAGCTCACCGCGGGCACCTTTTGTAACTGCCTGTTTGATGTGCACATCTGTGCCTGACTTTCTATCTGCTTTCTTAGGGGTCATTGCGAACCCATAACGAGACATTTAACCCTCTCTAAAGGTTGTCTGGGCTTCACCTTGTGGACACAGTGGAATGTCACATTGACTCCACTGATCTGAGATAAGTTAAGACATCATCTCCAAAACAAATCCGTCTAAAAAAGAAGAAAAAAAGAAGAGTGAATCTGTACGCCATTTGAATATCCTTATCCTAAGCTGCAGTGGGGGAAGCCTCTGCACTTAGGCTTAGCACTCTCAAGACAGCTCCTCCTTGTTAAGCATCGCCTCAGACTCCTACACTATGAATGGGACCATTACCCCCATCTCTCACTGCACACCCAGCTACACACACACACACATATTTTGGTCTTGGTAGGAAGCTAGCTCAGGGTGGCTGTGAGGTTATGCAGCACTGTACCCAGGGACTGCCTTTACAATAGCCCTTTTTTTTTCCACTGCTCCCACTCACTCTCTCTAGACTGCAGTCTTTTTTTTTGCATTACAACCTCCAGAACATCAGCTCCATCTCCCAATTGTAGCAAAATAAACTCCTTCATAAGGGCCTCAAGCCGGCACTCATTGCAAATCAGTACAGCGGTACAGCTTCTAAACAATTCAAGTGGGGTATTTACCCCCCGCTGCTACTCCTCCTTTACTTCATCTCAAAGAGATCTCGAACAAAATCTATCCTCAGTCGGGTTGAAATCAAGACGACGAATGAAGGATTGCAAAGAAAAAAGAGCTGCAAACTGAAAGGGAGTGAGACGGCCTGAAAAGGTGTTGATCTTACGGAATACGTCTGTTACATATATTCCCTTGTGTAGCGCCTTTGATCAAATAAGCCTGCTGTCTTCTGAAACAGAACCATAGGTTTTATTATAAATCCCGCACCTCGTCTTCACACGATGTACATTCGTGGAGGGGCTTTAGCTTTGGTGAAAGTTGCAACGGCTTCTATGTCACGGCCTCAACACCACGTCACACTTGATTCGCTTACAGTACTAACCAGGAATCCTCAGGCACTCAAAACACTTACAGAACTGTCTACTTGGTAACAAATAATAATAAAAAATGGCCGAACCTCACATGTTTTTGTGTGTTTCTGAGGACTGTCTACCTTCGGGGTTGCTTTCTGTACGTGTCTAGGCAGTATGTGTATGTTTCCTGTTCTTAATCTCCTTCAGTGTTTGCCCCTACCATTTTCCATGTGCTCTGCCTCACCGACACTGCCATCCGGCGTTGTCCTCTCGTAGCTGTCCTCGGGCAGGGGAAGGGCGCCCAGCCGGGGGCCCGACGAACTCTTGCTGCTGGGCGTCTCCGACTCGTCCAGGCCGCTGTCGTAGCAGCTCTGCAGCGATCCCTGCTGGTGAGGGTCCTGGGGCTGGCTCACCACCGAGAAGGTCACTCGGCGAAACGGCTACAAGAGAAACCAAACGGCCGGGGGTCACTATAAAAGGGACTCTTTTGCTTTTCTTTTCTTTTGTTATTGTTTGAGGACATCTAGGGAGTTGGATCCTCTGTATTTTTGAAAAGGGATTTCGGGTCAGGATGGTAGAGAAAAAGGGGGCAAGGGTAAGGAGACTACACATTAATTTGAGGAGTCTGGAGGAGTCGTGGAAGTGCGCTGGCTAGCTTTTAAGGACACAATTATTGGAGCGTAAATCTCCCAAGCTAGCTGTGATGTCACTTTCCTCACCCTAAAAACAAGACAAACGACCTAATCTGCTCTATCACAAAGAGCCAACACAGACCTTTTTATCGCAACAAACAAGGTCATGCCTTTCTCACACCCTGCAAACTATCAATGGGAAGACATTGTAACAGGGACACCCAGGAGGCTTGACAAAGGAAGCCTTTCACAAGCCCGCTCGAAGCTCAGGGGACCAAGACGACTGCGTGTTAAATACAGTCGAGGAGGGGAGGAATTTACCGGCCTGATTCACTTGTTTATTTTGGCCACTAAAAAAAAGAGGACAAGGTGAATGAGCGTCCAGCGCTGCGGGAGGTCTGATTCGACTCGCACAAAGGCGAGTGCAGGCAAACGGGGGACAACTACTAGACGTGCACGCGCAACAGCTTTGTGCTGGATGAGCTGCGGGTTCCCACTGCCAATAAGTGTAGCCTGCTAATTATTGAACAGTGTCCCGAGTTAAGCAGTAACAGAGCATGTCGTTAAAGCAGAGGCCTCCTGCTCACCGTCTCAGCCTGTTACCCTCCCCTCCCCTCTACATCTCTCAATCCCTGTCTGAGCGTTGTACAAAAGTAATGGCAGAGGTGGGGGGGGGGGGATGAAAGAGGGGAAAAGGAACATGAGACTAGGAATGAAAGATCCGGCTTGGTCATTACCAGAATGAATGGCATAACAAATGGCTGACGCTATTCATTAATTAGTTACAAACACAGTCAGAGCTGATCTTCTCCTCCAGCCCCTTGCCAGACCTCATCCCTTGTTTTCCCGCTCTTCTGCTTTCCCCTCCTCCCTATGTCCTCCTTGTCTCTTCGTTCCGTCATGAGACTATTAAACGAGGCCCATTACTCAAACATTTTCTCTTTCTCCCTCCATCTCCTTCCATTTGTTCCCCCGATTGTCTCACCTGATGAAATGAAATCTGCTATCGGCCGCCATGCGGTCGGTAACCACGTCTTTAATTTTGTACATCTATCCACTCCCCGTTTTTGCATCATTTTTTATCTGAGAGGCTGACGCCAAAAACATCACATCAAGCTGTTATCGCGCCGAACGGATATTTGGTATGCGTGAACGCGTGTCTATATCTTTGGAAAAAAGAGTGACAAATGAAGTGACGGCACTCGTGTGCACACGGATTTAAGAGACAATCTCAGCGAGTGTATACAGGTCACAACACGAAGGTGAACCTCTTTGTTATTTTGTCATCCTGAGACACTTACCGGAAGCACCTCTGAATTTCTGCCAGGCACATACTGTGAAAGATTGTCTTTTTGATAATGACATTTCCCACAAGCCACTGGGGACAAAACGGGCCTCCTTTAGCTCTGTGTGCCTGTTTGTAAATTTGCATTTATTCATATATTTGCATTTATTTGATATAAATATATATATCTTCCCGTCTTTTCTCTGGCTGGCTGGCTAGCAAAGCAATCTTGGCAATAAATCATGTTTCCATGTAATTACAATCAACACTCAACAAATGAATTGGTATAAATATTCATGCAAATTTCACTTGGATAGTCAAACATTTGTTGCATAATTAAAATCGGGGCCCAGAAGGAGAACTGCTCTCTATAAGTGTAATAACACTTGAAAGTACGCTAACATATTAAACCATGTTTTGTTTTGTTTGTTTGTTTGTTTGTTTCCACCCTATTTCTCCGAAACACTTGTTTGGTGTGAGGTGTGTGTTAACAAATACAACAGCTTGTGTGTGGTCGGGGGGGGGGGGGGGGAGTACTTTGTCTGGATCAGATTTATTGGAGTGCCATACTCCTTGGGAAACACGCTTTTTCTAATGATACGAATTAAACGACTGTTGCCTAATGAATTGCTGGCGAGGCCGTCGCAAAGAAAAGAAACACTCGAGCAGGCGGCACCGAGGGAAAATTGAGTTTGGGAGAGAGAAAAGAAGTTGACAGGGAAAGGGTGGGAAAAAAAGTTAAATGAACAAATAGATTGTATTCACCTGAATTTCCCTTATTTTCACTGGAGGGGAGAGTAAGATAGAAGAGAGAGGGGAAAAAAAGCTAATTTGTTTGCAGACCAGAAAATGGAGTTCACGCAGAGATCGCCGGAGGCTTTGGATTAGAATCTGCAGCAACCACCGTCTGCACGGCGACCTTCGCTCCCTTCATTCTGTGTCTTTTAAATAAATGAATAAAGTAAAAAGTGATTATTTCGTAGTCATTTCTTCCCCTATATGTGTGTGTGTGTGTGTGTGTGTGTGTGTGTGCTCATGTCTAGGCGTGTGTCTCAGAAGTAGCCGGGGAAGAAAAAGTGAATTGTCCAACATGCCGTGTGAAATCGCATAATGGCTTTCTAGTTGTCAAATCCAATGTTTTTTTTCTCTCTCTTTCAAGTATTCATAGGTGACTCGTCACGTGGCTTAATCACAGGGAAAAATAAATAATAATAATCTGCTGTGCACTCACACTATATTAGGGTTGACGGCTGGGGTTTTGCTGACCCCGAAGATAATGCGCGAGGGGTTTTTACATTGTTGAGGTAAAAGGGTTCCCCTCGCGGTCTGTCCCTGCTGACACGGAGCTGACCCCCTCTCACCACATACTGGTCACACCCGGTGAGTTTGTCAAGCCTGACTGAGTACATGCCCTTTGATGCTGGTCCCTCTACCTCCTACCCTGACCTCCTGGCCTCATGGTCCACTCAGCTGCCAATTAATCCAGCAGTGCTTTCCCACATACACAGACACACTGAAATGTCATGGCCAAGTCCCATTTATTGTAGCCTATACTGTCTTTTGTGTGATGTGTCTTTTTAAATTCTTGGAAGATACAAAATAAGAAAAATAATATCCCATCACTTACACACATATCCATGTATAAAGTAGCTAAAGCCCACGATGTGTCCTCCCCACGGAGTGGCCGAGCTTTCAATGTATGGCTTTAATTACAAGTTAGCACTAGTTTGCTTTATCTTTACCAGATGCCGGGACCTCTTTTCGGCCTCTTTATGGAGCGCCTGTGATTGAAAGCCAGCTGTGACAGCCACGGGTGATTGAGCAAAAAATGAACAATGCAAACAAGCCCAAAGGTCTACTGGGAGCTCTGGCCGAAAGCTGGGCTCGGCCTGTTTCCTGGACGCTAAAGGGAAAACACATGGGCTGCCTGACTCTAGCGAAGCTGGAGCCAATAAAAACAGGACCGTGCCACTCGTGTCAATAATGTGTGACCTCTTGGATTTGATTTTCATTTCCTGCCCCCCACCGCCCTCCGAACTAAAGGTGGAACCGCCGTCAGCACCACTCTGTTTGAGCTGTAGTACTTCTTTTATCTCCTAGCGAACCTTGACTTGGTAACACATTGTTCAGTAGTAGAGCATTCGTCCTTTGCACGAAACCTCAGACTCGTTCACATCAAGTTGAGAACACAGTAAAGGCACGTTACTTAAGACTATGCAGTATAGGTTTAGTGTCAAGTATTTTGTAAAGAGTTCTCATTATCAAACCTCCAATGTCACTCATTCATGCCCATGTGATAGAGTACCTGTACACAAGTCCACACAATGGTGACTGTGTTCTTGCTCTACTGCCAGTCCTCATCCACTGACGAAGCCTTTTGAACCCAATCTCTCTGGATGTCTACAATTAAGCCCACCTTCACCAGACCCTCTGGGTGGAGTGTAGGATAATAGAACGATGTAGGTGGGTCTGCTTGGAAAACACAGGGTGTGTAATTTCAGCTGTAAATACCTTTGGCGGATGGCAGTGACCCACTACCGTGAACCACAGGAAGTAATTGTGGCTAGGCAGGACTTGGGGCAAGGGGAGCAAACATAAACTGCAGGGCTAGTGTCTTATTGCAGTCAACCAAGAGAGATGGAGGGATACAGAGAGGAGAGCGGTGAGATGGAGAGACTGATAAAGAGGCCAGTAAAACAGAAGGGGGGGGGGACTCGGAGAGAGTGAGAGACGGGAGTGACACATGAGTATGGCCATGATTGCCAAAAGTGCCAGTATGTAATTAAGAAGCCATGTTTCATTTTTAATGGGCAACCAGACGGCGACCTGCAATCAGCCACCTGAGACGCGCAGAAAGTGCCAAATAGCCACGGCACACCAAACAACATACTTGCTGGAATCTTAAAATGACCTCCGCTGAATCGCGGCTGCTTGTTTTGCGAAGCTCAAATGCTGGTGAGGCTAGCTGTGATTCCAGTTGTGGGAAATTAAAAAGATCATGAGATACACTGAGGCTCAAGTTATAAATGGGACAAATGCCCTCAAGGTGAATGTCTGACTGGAAATCAATCTGGAATCTGATCCGGGTGGATTCAGGTTCTGTTTGGTGCTGCACTGTTGCAATTAATTACTTTGCTAAGCTAAGCACAGAACGCTGCTGTCTGGCATCACTTGTCAAAAAACAAGAGGCCGAATGGGAGATGGTCTCTCAAGTGTATTTGTGACGAGGGGAATTTCCAAAACAGGGTTTGTGTCAGGGCCGAGTAAGTTGTGGGAATTCTGACTGGAGTCGTTGGCTGCAGCTTTGTTAGTGCAACCGCCTGCACAGCCTCGGGTATCATGTTCTAGGCCTGGCTGAGCCCTGTCAAGCTCCAATGCTCCTCTTCACTTCTTCACGTCCCCCCCCCCCCCCCCCATCTTCTTCAAGCTTCGCTCCTCCTGCACGCATTCCTCCCAGGTCACTCAGGATGAAGAGGAGAAACCGGGGGGTGACGTTTCAAAAGAACACCCAACACTCAAAAAA